CTAAAATAGAAAATTAATGCATGTATTACATAGTATTTTCATTTTTATAAATAATTTATCTATTTTTATATATAATTTATCTATTTTTAGTAATTATTTGTATATATTTTATACTGTATAATATGTGCATAAAAAATTTAATATGCATATATGCACATTATGCACATAAATTTACATACTGCTTATAAGAATATTATATTATAAGTAATGTTTTAAATAGTACAATTCAGTTTAAATTATAGGCTAATCTAAAATTAAATTAAATTATAAATCAATAAAAATCTAAACTAAACTGAAAATTTAGATTAATCTGAAATTTTAGATAGTTTGTTCTAAATGAATAATAAAAAAATCATTTATTTAAAATGATTGATATATTATTATTCTAAATAAATAATCTTTTTATCATTTATTTAGAATGTTTTTATCATTCTAAATAAATAAATTACTTATTGTTTATTTGAAATAAAATTGTTATTATTCTATATAAACTATTTTCTTATTATTCATTTGAACTATATTATTATAATTTTATATAAACAATTTTTTAATTATTTATTTGAAATGAATTATTTAAAATTTTAAATTGATATAAATTTTTCTATTCAATTTAAATTTTTTTAGTTTAGATTAGACTTATAATCTAAAAAATCTAAACTGAACTGAAAATTTTTAAATTAATTTTTTTATAATCTGAAACTGAATCAAAATTAATCAGAATTAAATTTTTAGATTAATCTAAACTATTTAGAGTTTTAATAGCATAATAGATATTTGTTATATTATGTGATAATAAAATCAATGTTAATCTTTTTTATATTATATAATATTTGATTTTAATTGATTTAAAGTAATAAAAAAAGATCAATAATATTTTAAAAACTAATCTATTGATATGCAATTTTTTTGTATTAATATATCATTTATTCCTTTTTTTATATTTGTGTAAAAACAGATCTGAAGATTTCTATTTTTAAGAAAGTTAAATGAAAGCTAAAATTTTAAGGTTAAAATTATATATTATAATATATTTTATTTAATAATTTATAATTTACCAGTTTAATATATTTTTAAAGTTACCAATATTTTTTTTATTATTGCTATTTCTTTTTTATTTTTATTATCTAATATTTCATTATCTAATAAACTATTATTAATATTATCATCTTTTTATATAGGTTTTTATATTAAAGGCAATACCTTTTTTTATATAATTCTTTATAATTATTATTTTATTATAAAATACATTTATAATAAAAAGTATGATCACATAAATATTATATCTTCTTCTTAATCTAAACATTTAAATATTTGATATATTAATCACAAATATTATTAGATAATGATTTAAATATATGATATCTAGTAGATAAGCATTTATAATAATTTAATATTACAGTTCCTTTTTAATTTTTTTTTTTTAATTTTTATAATTATTATAAAAAAATATAAATATATTTGATATTTTTATATTTTTGATAGAATTTATAAAAAATTAGCTGAAAATATATTTTAAATAGTTAAAAACTAGCCTTTCTATTTTTGATAATTTTTATAACGATTAATTTTGTATTAATTAAATTAATAATTATGTGATATTTCAAAAATGATCATTATAACTAATAAAATTGCAGATAAGTTAAATATTTATTATGCTAGTTTTAGTTATAAGATTATATATATTTACATATTTATCATAATATGAAATATGATTTATAATCTAAAATATTTATGTAATATTATATTTAAAATACTTTATAAAGTTTACAATCTGTAATATATAATGTAATATCACAATAAAGTATTTCACAAAAATTTATTATACATAATATATATGTAGTATTATAAGCAAAATAATTCACAAAATATGTAATCTATAATATTTATATAATATTACAATAATAACTCTACACTCAATCTGTTATATTTAAGATAATAATGACTTAATAATAAAGAGTAATATATGAGAAACTACTAAATTACTATAAAATAAGTCCTATTATAATCAATCTTAGATTTTAAATTTAGATAAATAAAAAATAACTTTAATAATTTGTAAAAATAATAAATATGATTGATATTTTAATATATGTAGTTTAGAAAAAGATTTTTTTATTATAAAGATTATATCCTTAATAATCCTTAACCTTGGATTCTAAGTCTTTAACTTGAATTATTAAATTATTACTATTGTCTCTATTCTTTTACAAAAACAATTTTCAATTCTATTTATAATTATAAATGATCGCTATCTAATATTATTTTATATAAACTAATTTATAATAAATACAAGACATAAACTATAATTTAACTATAATAATAATATAATAAATAATAAAATATATAATAATAAAATATAAGATAAAAATAAATAATATAAAAATGTTGAAGAAGTTAAAAATATTAAAGATATTAATAATGTTAATTTTATTAATCTTTATAGTGTAGTAGAATTGATTTTACATGGTATCAATACTCAAATACTTTATAAGATTTATAGTTTATAATATATATATAATTATAAAATATATAATCTATAATATTATATAATATTATAGTTAAATAGATTAATAATAAACTATAAAATTTTACAAAATACTTTAACTTACTATTTTAGATTTAAAAACTTATGTAATTTAATTAAAAAAATTTTATATATTAAAAAATTTTAATAAAAGTAATTATAATAATATACATATATTAAAAGAATTAATAAAGATTAAAAATTGATTATCATAATTAAGAGTTATACAAAGTAAATATTAACCCATAGACTTTTTTATATTTAATGGAAATGATGATCTTAAAAAAAAAGATATTATAGAACTATTTTCTGTATCATTATTTAAATTATTAGAAACACATAATATAATAATAATAAATTAACATATAAAATATTTGTAAAATAAATATATATAAATATATTGATTTTTAATAATTGATTGAATTAGATTACTTATATATTATTATTGTCAATAATATTTCAATAAAATTAAAATAGTTTCTTATCATTTAGTTTGATTAGAATTTTAATTATATGTAAATTATAGAGATAATTAGTAATGCTTAGTTAAATTATTTTTATCAGAAAATCTTTTGTTAAATTTATGTTTAACAAAATTTTTAACTAAAGTCTAAACTTTTGACTAAACTTTTAGCAAATAATTAAATTTAAACTGCTTTTATAATATTAATTATAAATTTATTTTTTATTAAAGAATATATTATTATTTAATATTTATTAATTTTAACTTAAAATCTTTTATTATTTATTATTAATTAAATTATTGCTAATTAACATCATAGATAATAATTATTTATATAGTAAATAAAATAAAAAAAAATAGTATTTTATTTACAAAATTCTAAATTTATAATAAAGTAAAATATTATTAAAAATTGTGAATTAAAATCCATTTTTCTTTCAGATGATTTTTTAGGCTATCTCTTCGTCATCCAATGCATTGGTATTCTTTTTTAGACAAGACCTTTCGGATGGTGGTTTATTATTATTATTTTTGTTAGCTTTCGGCCACAGCAATTTATTTTCATTTTCATTTTTTTTTTTTTAATTTCTGGGTTCGATCACACCAAATTGAATTGAGATGTTGCGAGATTCTGGAATTTAAAAGAGAGTCATAATCAACAATTCGGGACGCTGTTTCTAAATGATGAATCAGCAATTCAACAATTCAATAAAAATGAAAATTCGGATGTAGGGAAGTTACGCTAACTCCGCTAACTCGCCGTAATTCAGATTAAATGGGTATAATATAAGAAAATGAATTGTATTTATTAGCATAAAAATTATTTTAAAGATTATTATTACCAATGCACTTATTCTTTTTTTTCTTCAAATAACAAATATTTACTTAAATTTTTATTTATTAGCAATAGCCGTTGTTAACCTGGAATTGAACCGAAACCAGATTAACCAACAAGGATCTAACTAAGTCCCGTCCTAAGAAAGATTTATGCAACAATTTTACGATTCTTTTGTATAGTTGGTTATTACAGTCAAGCCTGTATGAAGATACGATAAAGGTATGAAAGAGTAAGGATAGAAATTAAATTCAATAATAAGAATTCGGAAGTCTCTTCTTCAACCATACATTTTTCAATCAAGTCGAATTTTTGAAGTTTTTATAAATTCTTTACCATATAAGATAGTAAAATAATAAATAAAAGAATTATAGCGAAAATAATAATAAAGTAAAAATATCAATCTAATAATCTAGAAACTATGTCTAATAAAAAAATATAAATATAATTTCTAGCATATATCTGAGCAAAAGGAATTATTGGAAATCATCACAGAGAAACACACGTGACCAAAAATTTCACATTGCGTAGACCTTTCGCTTTTGCTCTGGACAAATAATTAATATAAAATTTTTTTTTTTTGTTATTAAAGGTTACAATTTAGTAAAACGGTAATTATTGTTGTAGAGTTAATGTCTATTACAAATGAGGCGCAGTAAATTCTTTGTCAATCCTTTTACTAATGAAAATAATGAAAGTCCAATCCAATTATTCAATTTTCTTACACGGAAATATGTAGAATCATCAAAAATTATCAATGCTTCTCGTCACAAAATGATTTACAACCTTTTTTTTATGACGCTTCTTCACGGACTTATCTTAATTTTTAATAAATAAATTGGTTTACATATGGTAATAATTAGCTTTATTTCGTTAATTCCCTCCATTATATTAGTTCATCATTTCCGATCTTTCATTCTTTAAAGTTTTATAGAATCGCTGCAAGATTTCCCATAAGTTCCGTTGTGAATTTCAGAAGATTGAGTTTGATTTTTTGATTAGCAGTAAACTTTATTAGGTAATACAGAATCGATCGGTTAGATCCTTAAGTTATCCGAGAAAACCAGACTATTTATGGAAAAATCATAGTTGGTAAAATTATAAACCGAGGGCTGAGTTTTCTATTAGTAATTTGCAATAAACTCTGAAATATTTAAATAAAAAATAGTCAAAAAAAAATGGTTTTAAAAAACAATGTAGAAAAATCCTTAAAAGACTTGGAAACGAGAATTAAGGAATTAGAGCAAAGTAACGAAGGGTTACGTTCACAAGTCAAATATTTAGAAGAAAAGATTGGAAAGCGAGAAGAAGAAACAAAGGCCAATATTAAAAATTTGGAAGAAAAAGTTAGAGAACTAGAAGAATTGTCCAAAGAAAAGCAAGTTATTAATAAATTAAAAAAAATAATTTTATATTTTATAATTTATACATTTTTGACGCTTATTATTTTCGTTATTTTATATATATATATTTATTTTTTTTGGGATTTTAATGAATTTTTCATTCGAATTTTATTAAACTTCAGCAAATTGATATTACATCCTTTAAAGCGGTGGGAGTTAAACAAAAGCAGCTTTTATATTTTATCTTAGCTTTATATAAAAAATATCTATCTATTCCTGCAACTTCTGTATCTAGTGAAACAGTGTTTTCAGACGTAAGTAATTATATATTTCAGCAAGTCGTACTCAAATCATCTCCGGATTTGGTGAATCATGTTTTGTCTTATCTATCATTTTAAACATGTAATTAGCTTAATATTTATTTCTTCGATAATGAAAAAAAATATTTTGTTAACATTATATTACATTATAAAACTTATCGTAATTCGGTTTTTCGGGTTTATTACAACCGAATGCTCGGTTTAATCTGTTTTATTTAATTTCGGTTTAAATCCGGGTCTCAAATTTAAAAAGTTTTGAAGGGTATGTTTAAAATTAGATTATCAAAAGCCTCATTGATTAGATGTTGTTTGGCTATTATTATAATAAAATTAGAAGGCCCGAGGTGCAATTAACGACCTGAAATCACGTTTTCTGCGACCTGAAGCGATTGGACCTGGAATATATATTCATGAGGAATAATATAATAAGCCAAAAGTAAGAATTAAAATAAAATAAAAAAGGAAAGGTCGAATCAATGAGAAATACTCACTCGTTTTAATCAATGCGATCGAACCCAAAAATATAAACGTAATGATTAAAAAACAAAACTGAATGAAAATAAAAACACCATACCTTTTACCGCCCTGTAAGTTGATTATATTTCATCGGTGTTTTATGATCAATTATTTTTATTCATATTAAATACTTTTGCTTTAAATCAAAGATATATTAGATTAAATTTGTAAACCATTATATACATTGAATAAAGTAAATAGACGTTCATCCAGTTCCGATTACGCAAAATGTTAATGAAGTACATCGATATAAATTATGAAATGGTTACATTAAAGAGCGAGAAGTAGTGGTTATTTTTCTTTTGGGACAATTATTTTGGATCATTCGCTGGTAAGGTTACATCATTAATAAATTTTATATAGTCATTTTAGTATAGATAATTCAACAATTAACATTCGAGCGTAATTGCCAACAATATTTGGGGACCCAGATTAAATCGTATCGTTCAAATATATATAACAAAAAATTACACTCTGATATATATATATATTTATTTATATGATGACACACACATTTCTGCTATCCTTATTAAATACATAACTATCAAGTTAAGCATATGACAGATTGAATATTTAATGAAAGAAAAAAATTAAGACCGTTCTCTCGTGAATAATTGAGAATGTTTCTGTTTTTGGAATGTAAATCAAGGAATTCAGGGAAATAATTACAAAGCCAGTTATTTACATATATTTTACACAGCAGCTCTAGAGAATAACAATTGCCGCGTTTTGAAAGACATGCGAGAATTTGTATTTAACTATTACCTCCTACTCAGTGTATAGTGCGCAAATATTATATATTAAATATTTTACTAATGATGAGCCGCTCACAAATATTTTTTTGAAACGTGCGGAAATTCACAATCATGTGCACGCACACATGACCGCACTACCAAAATCATACTCGCTCCTACTAATTCAACATATTGGAAAATTATATGATTAAAATCTGGGTAGCCATATCGACATGGTTTCTTTTTATTTGAAATAAGGTATTTTCATTACAATGTATGATGTTCATTTTCGTTTTTCAGATTAAACATTTTCGTTCATCTTTTAATATATTAATACTACGTACATATTACAAAAGCAAGGCAGAAATACTTCACAATAAATAAAATCGTAAAAAATTAGAATCTGCATAAATGTACCAACATCTCAGCTTATAAAGAAAGATACATAACCGAAGCTTCCTTCAGAATCAGTAGAGAAGCTTGTGTTAGCCCACCAGATGTTCTCAGACATTGGTAACTCTTCGGAGATGAATACGACGTGAAATGCTAGAACTAATAATAGACCCTAAAACCGTGCAACTGTGTCAACAATGAGCTGGTCTTGTTGGAATTGCATTTACCTCTTTCTCTTATTTATTGCTAGAAATTGGAATCGATTAAAGAATATATTTCTATCTTGTAATCAACCGTTAAGGATTTTTGACCAGTTACAACCTCTAATTTTATTGCAACTTCAAATACACATTTCTTCCTGTAATTTTGGGTCATTTTCAAAGGTTCATAAATGGCGATGTGAACATTCTTCTTCTTTGTAATTTTGTAATATTTGCCGAAATGTTGAAGTGATAACACCCTCGTTGGAAAAATTCAAAGTACTTTCCGTAAGGGATAAATGACTCTGTGATTGAAGTAAAATTGTGTGAGAAATTTTTAATCAATCCAAGAAAGAGAATCAGAAAATTTTAATTAATTATTTATGATGATGGTTACTAATAAGGATGACATATTGAACACCTTTTGGCGGTTTGCAAAGATATCAAAAATTGACAAAACTCAGTTGTAACTATTCTCAAATATCAAAATACCAACTTTAACTAACTCCTATATAACTCAAATAACAAGCTTACCAACATTACCAAGCTCCTTAGAGAAACTCGGCTCAAAAACTCATATCACAAGCTTGTCAACGTTACCAAACTCCTTAACGGATCTCCGTTACCGGAAAACACAAATAACAAGCTTACCAAATTTACCCGATTCCTTAAGGACCCCTCCAAATTTAAAATTACTTATTAAATTTAGCATTTTATCTGTTTTATTTTAACTAAAAATTATCATTAACTTGATTCAAGCAATTATTTAATCAATTGATAAAAAGAAATGTTGTCATATCATTTGACGTAATACCGATCATTATTTTTTAATTCATCTTAGTAATGCTTATCATCAATTAAACGATATATTATTTCGAAATCGTAAACTGTAAACTAATCCCTCCTTTACTTTTTTTTTTTTTTATGTATTTATCTGCATATAAAGCAGCTAAACAATTTGGAATCTAGTCATACACCTTGCATCGCTGGCTAAAGGAAAAATTACTGCTATAAAGTCTCCTTCTAACGTCCCAATTTCCTATTTCCAATCTATGAACTCATCAGTAATATCAGGTCAGTAATCAACTTCAAACACAAAGGACTGCAAAGCCTGAAACAATCATGCAAAGTCTTGACAAAGAGATTGTGGTTACCCACCATGATCGATTATGCAGGTTCGCTATGAACTCCTCAAGTACTTGTTCTCGCTCAACTCCACAAATTCATGGTTCTCTTTGACGACTCAACAACATGAGCTGTCCGAAGATATCCTTGCTATCAACATCATCTTCATCTGCAGATTGCAAGAAAGAAAGTATTAATAGTGAGAAAAAAACAAAAGAAGAAAAAAGGACGAAAACGTGAACAGAACTTTGAAAGTGAAATTGTATCCAAATCTTGCACAGAAATGCATAATGAAGCGATAGATGGGGCTGACAAGATTGGCCTATAATACGATCATTGACTATCTGCAAAATAGACAGTTTTTGATTGTACAAGTAGATTAAAATGGGAATAAATGTAAGAAGATGATGAGCTTTTCAAAGATAAAATTCATGAGAAGGATCACATATTTAAAATTGAGAAGTAAGAAAACTTATGATGATATGCGCAAAAAACTTAATTGGCATAGCTGGATATATCGCCGTTAAAAATTTCAATTCAAATAATAAACCAGGTTGAAGTTCAAGACCATGAAGACTTAAGCACACTATTACCATATGCGCACAAAATTTCTCAAAAAAATATTGAAATAAATTTTACATATCGTACCTATTCAAAGATTCTGATTCTATGAGAACACTAAAGAAGAAACCATATGATCTCATGGAAGGATCAAGAGATCTGAGAGCTATGCATTTTGAGACCAAGAAAAAAAACAACAGTTAGCTATCAAAAAAAATCAATAATGATTGCAAGCTCACAACTTTAGAAAAACTAACAATGGATCTTATCGTGGGTACATGAAAGATAAAAGTCAAAAGAAACATATGAGAGGTTTGTTGCTATTGATCCAGGAGTTCGAACCCCATTTGTGATGTACTCACCCACAAAAGGAATCACAGTGGTTGGTAAGAATGATGCGCAGAGGTTGGTGAGATTTTGCTTATATGCAGATAAACTAAGTTCAATAAGGGACAAGCTTAAGAGCTCAATTTCTAAGAGAAAGAATAAGAAGGAAGGCTAAGAGAATTGATAAAGCGATTTCAAGAATTTTTAGGAGAATCAAGAAAGATCAATTCAATTCAAAAACTGTACGGAGAATGTTAATCACATTACTCATTCCGACAATGGCTGAAACACAAAGTTGATGAGACTGCATGAAAATGATTATACAAAATGAAGCATATACTTCAAAAACATATTCTGCATGTGGAAACATACAGAATATAGGAGGGAGAAAAGTTTATAAGTTCAAGGGATGCAATGTGATTATGGACAGGGATGCAAATGGAGTGTGGGGGATATTCCTTCGCGCGTTGCTTGATGGAGCCATATGCATGCAAATGTAGGAATTGGTAATCATGCATAATGATGTGTTACAATCCATCCGATGATTAAAAACTAAATTTATAGTTCATTTGCTGAATCGGGGAAAACATATTTGATATTTAAAGTGTAAAAAATCTGTAGCAATACAAATTTGTCACAATATAGCTTTCTTTAATTGTACATGTTCAATTAATAGTTAGAATCAAACATCAAACAAACAAGCGCGTTAGATTGATTGAAGCCCTAACATTGGTTTTGTGGAATGAATACTTAGCGAGTAAAATTACCTCCTTAAACTATTTATGATTAGCTGTTCCTTTCTTTTACTTTCTTGTACACTTCGAGAAATATGACTTCGTTACCTTAAACACGCTTCTATAAATAATTGAACAGGCCAGGCTTCTCTTTATTTTCTTCTAAAACAATAAAATTATTCCAAACGCTCGTCCAAAGGATTGGTTTATTTTATTTCTTAACCAAATAACTGTCAAAGTAATACGTGAAATGCAAACTTTTAAACGTTTTGATTTATCACAAAACTGCAAATATGGTATGGTAATAAAATTAGTTGATCGATCTTTTCAACAAAAAAAAATCATCTTATTAAAATATAAATAGATGTTAATTAATTTCATATATTTTATTTTTATAATAAAGATAGTATAATAAATAATATTGATAACTAACACCTCGAAAACTAATTATTTAAATATATCATAATTTTTACATAGTTGAGTTTCTAATAAATTTATACTATAGTTAAACTAAAAGTTTAAAAATGCTATAAGATAATTTTTAAAATACCATGAATGAAGTGGCAATTCAGAACTTAAATCAATAATTTTATGCGATAAAAATTTCGAATTTGGAATAAATTATATACAAAACGTCGACGTATCTTGGGAAAATTTCAATAATTCTAATTTCGTTCTCGTCAGAATTTCGAATACTTTTGGCATCTATATTTTTATAATTTACTTTTTCGATTTTTATAATTTAGAAAGTTAAAGGACATGCGATCGAATTTATATTGTCAAAATCCTTCGCAATTTAAAAAATTTGTAAAGGAAGTTTATATCCTTAAAAATAAATCTAATTGATTTTCGACCTTATTTCATCTATAATAAAATTATTATTTAACTTTTGTGAAAGCAATAATGTTTTTCCCAAATCACGGGGTATTTAGCAAATGATGTCATCATTTGTTATTACGAATGACGTAACGGATGAATCGTTTGCTGATTGTTCATTGGCTAATTTTTGTTTTCGATCATCCTTTGAAGAAAATAAATAACGAGAATTTCTCAACTTCTTTTACCTTTATTCCATCATTTCTTTACTTTTGGTGTGTATTTTTTATGTAATATTTTTTTTAAAGAAATTTTTCAAAAGGATTAAAGCAAAAAATAACATTTTATTATTTTTAAGGAATCTTTTATACGATGACTCGACAAACTCGACAGGTTCGCGTTCAAGGTGTCAATCGTGCTGTTGTCGCGCCAAGGCGACGAACTATTTCTTCAACTTCCCTTACTTCCATTCCCCTTTCAGTGCCCTCTTCTTCTGCTTCTTTAACAGCTGTACCACCTTCTTCACCTTCCCCTTCTCCAACAGCTGCTTCTCCTTCTTTAGGTTTTTTCCCTCACTCTCCCACTTTTCCTGTTTCCTCACCTACTTCTCCCACTTCTTCTATTTCTTCCACTGGCCCAAATTTTTCTCCCTCCCCATTTCCTTCTCCAATTTCCGCACCTTCTTTAGTTCCCCCTACTAACCTTCCTGTTCTTTCTCTTCCTCTTTCCTCCCTTCCCAATATCACATCATATCGTTCTCCCCCTTCCCCTTCTTCTCCCTCTACTTTAAGTTTATCCCCTTATTTATCCCCTTCTACTTCATCCGTTTCTTCTTCTTCCTCTAATTCTTCCACCCCCACTTTAACCCTCCCTGTTTTTAATCGCCCCTTTGTTAATTATAGACTTCTTAGGTGGCCAGAGCCGATGGATCTTGATCCACCTGGCATTTTTATTGAAACTCCTTTCATCCCACCTAATCAATGGCCTGAACCAATGGATCTTGATCCTCCTGGTATCTACGTTGCCATTGATTATGG